AGGAACCCCGGGAAAAAAATGTTATATACAAAATGCCCGTGATAAACAGAGCAGCTCACCTGGTACAAAGACCCAGATATTAAGCTGAAAAGGTCTCACAGAAACCATTTTTACTCAATTCACTGAATACAGCATAAGGCAATAGAAAACACGACTCGTAATGTAAGTGCTTAAGGAAAAAAATAAACCAAATAACCTGCCCATCAAGAATATGAAAACAAACTGATGCTAGACATACTTGTTAGTGGGACTTTTTGTTTCCTTTAGAAGGAGTTACTTAAAGTGTCACAGGAGTCCGTGGTGATGTGGAACAGTTTGGCACAGTGCAAAAGACAAACCCTTCTCCAGGAGGCTGTGCAATCATCAGTCAGGAGCAGAAGTGGAGCGTGGGAGAGTCAGAGGGAAAAATGTTGTGCCGGTACAACTGGCAGAGTTGCGCTGTGGCTGGTAAGGTGGAAATGCTTCGTGGTTATAGCAGGGAAGGAAGCACAACGTTGAAAGTGAGCAAAGTAAATACAAAAAAGAGGGTGCTCAGCCTGCAAGAAGCTAGTCGCTTGCTGGAAAGAACAAGCATAGACTGAAAGAAAAGGAAACTTGAAAAGCATGAGACACCATTGCCCATACACCAAGTCCTGCAATAAGGTCAGGCTGCCTTTTGGAAACACTGCTTTCTCCGTCACCCACGTTCTGCTTGCAACCAGAACGCACAAGCGCAAAGAGTGTCGTTTCCTTATCCCCCACCTTGTCTCCTTTTCTCTGTCAAAAAGCCCTCCTTAAGAATGTTCTGAAGTTCCCATTTCGCTTCATACAATGGGAAAGCAGTAAAAAAGCTGATGGGGCAGCATGACTCTGCAGGAGTAGAAAGGGAGCAGTCTCTTATTTTTTACTAGCGCCTCGATCTCTTAGCCTCTGATAGCTCAATCCTCTATAAACTGCTTTTAGTCCTCCTATTTCCTCCAGCAATCTCTCTCTCAATATGTACCTGCTAGGAAAAAGTGAAATGGATGGAATATTTTGTTGCTGTGTCCTAGCAAGATAAACAGCTCAAGCAACAAAACATCCCACAAAGAGGACGGCATGCTGCTTTCAGACTTCAGTCTGCCCTGTTAACTACACACATGGATAGAGCAGTAAGGGAATGGGTACAGCTTGCCGTGGGACAGAGCGAAAGGGAAAACCAAACCTGTCAAACTCAGGGCAGGGCTGAGTTAGGTTAGTATGCAGAGTTGCTTAGGAAGCTTGTTGGGGCTTGGGGCTTTTTCCTCTTTTCCCCTCAAAACAAGAAACCACTTTTTCCTACACAGTAGGTAAGCATATCACCCGGATCAGATGAGTCCTATCCAATGTCAGCATACTGTAGGGGATTTCCTTCAAGTCCCAGCTGGGTAGAGAGAAGGCTGGCAGAAAGCAGTGGCATTCAATGCAAAGTAAATCCCTATGCCGCTGTGAGAGACTCCCAAGAATCTGGAGAGCCCACCCTAACAAGCATTCCTGGGCAAACGTACAAACAAAAGCAGACCTAAGTTTATGAAGCAAGGCTCTGAGTTACATTTCATTACAGTAGATACACGGAAGATAACCACTGAGCATTACAGAAATTTAAATGGGATTTACAAGTGTGGGTAGGAAGGAATGCATATAAAAGCTTGTACACGTGTACGTGCAAAGGTGTGTGCACACACCACCACCAGCGGGATGCGCTGTGTCTGATGTGCTCCTGTGTCTCCGAGTAATTTAATGGAGGAGCTGTATCTTGTACCCAGCTTGGCGATGCCATCCTTTCCGGAGAGAAAGGTTATGAGAACAACTGCCACTGCTGTAGCTCAGCAACATCAGTTACCTGTTTGCGGCAGATGCACCTGCCCTGAGAAAGACCCGGCCTTCATTACTTTTTGTGCCCTTACAGCCCTACTGTGACTGGTGTCCCGTACACAGTCGCAGGTAAATGGAGCCTTTGGCCAACGGCAATGGACACGACCAGACATGACCACGGGTGAGGTTTGACTAGGCTATAAACGGGGTCCTGCCAGCGGGCAAATGGAGTCAGTCCTCCTCGGAGCAGCGGGCTTGCAGTTGGGGACTCTCCCCTTGGGTTGCACTGCCGCCCAAGGTAACTCCTTGCGGTTGAGAGCCCTTGCCTTATCAGGTGAGAGATTGCGCGTTCCGAGTCATCATTCTGGAGCTTAGGAATTCTTAAGTCGGCTGTGTAGTATTAAATTCCCATTGGCATCCCAAACCTGTGGTTTACTAATGTTTGTCAGAGTACCAAACACTTTTGATTAGAATAAATATTATTTTTGGTTACATCACCTGCCTAATTGGGCTTTGTGCTCCTCCGCGAGACTGTTAGGTGTGCCATCGGTAGGTATCATTCCCTAAAAAGTCTCATAGCACTATAAATAAGCATGAGGCATATAGTCCCACCTCAAAGTGTTCTTTCATGAAAAGCATGTGCATTATCGCCTCTTTAGGGGAGAAGGGACATGTGTCTGTAATGGTGAAGTCCAAATCCAAAGTCCTGCAGCACAAAGAACAGTACTGGCAGATATCTGTGCATGGCTGAATATAAAAGAAGTTTTAGCTGCTCCCAGTCACAACATGGAGGCACAGCCTGACCTGAGATTGTGTGTTGGGGTCTGGGGACTCCCAAAGGCCAGCTCTGTGTTACTAAAGGGGTAGGTGGGCAAGGGCTACCTGCTAGGGCTCTGAAGGCCCCCTGGTTTTCACAGAGGCAGCAAAAAAAAGCCAGAGGATCCCAAACTCTTGAACTGGTGCATCGATGCTGACGACACTCTTCTGCTGCCCCGTTGCAGGAACACGGAGGGTCCTCCCAGTTGGAATTCCAGCGACCCCCGCTGTAACGAGACCACCACGCAGCTTCTGTGGCGCAGGTGGGGTTTTGTATTCATTCACACAAGCTTACGTTGTCAGTCTTCTTGAGCAGAGTTTTCTACTGCTGTCATCCCCTTTCGGAGAGCCAAAGGGTCAACGCAATAAGCATTGCTGTACAACGAACGGTGGGGACTGCAGTGCGGAATACACAGGATAAGAAACCTGAGACACACAAAGAAAAGATCTTACTGATTTTTTTCCCCCTCCTTCTTAATCCTAAATGTAAGCCAGAACGTTGCAGAGCCGAGAAGCGGGGATCAGCTGCAATAGCCCTCCACAAGAGGGCTCCTATTGCAGTAAAGAGAGAGCTGTTCAGAGCTAGATAGCTCAAGACGGGCACTACAGTGAGCTACAGACCGGCTCAACACTTACTGTGAACAGCTTTGGACCGTAGAGAGGTGCTATCCCTCTGCGAAGTGAGGACGCCTAATGAATGCGCTACCCTATTTAAGCAGCGACAGGACATGGCTCAGTGCACCACACGGTTACAAGATGACAGTCAGCCACGAAGGAAGCACAGCTTCCATCCCTGTCCACAGGCAGCCCTCCCAGGCACCGGAGTTGGGAAACACCAGCCACTTACAGAAAAAGCCTGGCAAACTTTTATAACAAAAGAGGAATGTGGCAGAATGGATTTATTCAGTAGGTGAACTCCCGCCACTCCCATCACAAAACCCCCCAGAATTCATGCTAACCAAGGCTCTAGTATCTGTTCCAGATAGGGCCTTCCCCAGAGGAAAACATGAGTGGGTGGTCAAGTTTGGAAATGAGACGAGTGGCCTGAATGATAGTTTCCCCTCCTTTCCATCTCAAAAACGTTAAGCTTTCAGATTACTGCAACGCACAGCGTGACAAATTCATGACTTCTAGGACTCTACAGCTGTTACTCTACAGCATTACCCTGGCAATTCAGCATGCTGTGGCAAGAGCAGGAAATGCAGTCACCTGGATAACGAGGCGAATAAGAACAGTTAGCTGCTAATCTTTCCTTAAGTCTCCTGACTTGAAAAATGTCTTTCTGGAGGACAGAGCCCTGAACACAGCTGAGCTTTCAAGCCCAAATGAATATGATGCTTTGTAGTCATAAAGCCTTGGTAAGCCAGACTTTTCCCCAGCCCATCCTTCACAGCACCTCATTATCAAAAGCGACTCTTTTTAGAATACAAGTGTTTCCTGAGCAAGTCTTAGAGGGGAAACTTTTCCTCCTCCATTCCTCCAGCTGCTGAAGGGAATGGCGATATCTCAGAAGTGGACTGGCATCGCTAATCTTACGGGGAAAGCTGGAGTTGTTCTCTTGTTCCCCTCTCCCTCACCACCATTTGGTCAATCCTTCATTTCTACCATCAGTGATGTTCCCATGTTTATGCACCAGATCAGGAACATGGCTCACAGGGCCTCAGCCAGAAATAACCTCTAGGGGATGAAGCCACACGTGGCAGCTGTAGTAGCGATGAGCTATGCCCAAATGAGTCCAACGGGACAGGAACTAAAAGACTGCCCAGTTCTTAGCTGGAAGGCCCATAAAATGAGTACGAGGGCAGTGGCAGGGGGTGTCAGTGCAGACCCTGATGGATGGATGACCGTGCTACAAACCCACCTCTTGGATATTAACCAGCTTCCTTACAGGGGTTCAGAGGAGACACTGACAGTCAAAGTTGTCAAATGTTCCTTTTCTTTCATCTCTCTCTCTCCATCCCCATTTAGTCCCTAAAAATTTATGTTAATTAAGGAAATGAATGCCACAAAAACTTGCATGCCATCCACGCAGGCCCCATTCTATGGAGGAAGCAGCTTAGCAGCCCAGGAAAGTTGGTCCTCTAACACTTTTCACTAGATTCATTTCTAGAAATTTGAAATAACCCAAACAAAGCAATGCCCCACAAGCAACATGAGTGTCATTCCTCTAGTTACCTGACCGGGAAACGCCATGTGTCTGAGTTGGCAGCAGGGCTCTACCACTTTTATTTACCCTAACGGACAGCACACACTCATATTAAAAGCCATACGTGGTTTCGTGAGCTAACGTCGCACGAGAATCTAATAGTATTTGAGAAGCTATTTTGCCAAGAGAAGAATGGTGAAGAAAACTACCTGCAAATGCAATCTGGTCATACAGATGATGTTTCAGATGTCACTTCAGAGCTTACGGGTGGCTTCATACATTCTTTCACACCCTCTTCCACTGAATCCTGAGGCTTACAACAGTGAGAACAGACTGAAAAAGAAGATCCCTCATTAGTATTCAGAATTCCAGAAGACATAGAAGTGCTGAACCCAAATGTCTTCTTCAACAAAGTAAAGTATAACTGACAGTGGGAAGAAAGCAGAGAAGAAATTAAAGAAAGAAAAATCTTTTAGGTCTAGTTACTTCTATGTTTCCTTGGCAGGACTCATCCCTGCAGTACATCTGAACAGGGCTGGCCCAGAGCCATAGTCTGATCTGATAGAAAGCTCTCTTATATATAAACGTTATCTATAGAGTGTCATATGGATAGAACCATTCTCATTAGGACAGGGCTAGGACCTCAGCCTGGCACAAAGACAGGTTGGTACACGCTAAGACAAGGTCAGAAGGGAAATAACAGTAAAAGTTACATGTCGCTAAATGCAGTTTACCAAGCAAGTGAAAGAACACCGGTGTTAGAACCAGCCAGCCAACTCTTTCAGTGCTTTAAACAGAGTTCAGATTAAACAGATCCCCTTACTATCTCATCTCAGCATCTATCAGTGACTTTTGTTTTAATAATTCAAGTTGAATCTCTCTGTACTATTACAGCAAATTGTACTTGCACAAATTTTGCAACATGGATCCTAAGCTATTCTTTAAGTGAGCTCTAATCTCGGTCTAATCTTGGTGCTTTGTGTTAAATCAATTGAAAAGCCAAAAAAAGAAAAATCTGGAGAGTTTCCATTCTTAAATTACTGCAAAGATAGGCTTTGAGCTCCTCAAAGTAGGGGGTTGTGAACCTCAATAAAGCATCTACATGTTTTGGTCACCACCACAATCATGCATCTGAGAACTCATATTTCCGTTTTGCTCTATCTTTCTATTCTTCCCTCCCACACTCCAGCTCTTTGAAGCATGGCTTTTTGAGCTCAGAAACCACTCTTAGCATCAAGGCAGCTCCTGACTCAGCTTTCCCTATGCCAGAACAACAGAGGTGCTCTCAGACCTATTCTGAGCTCCCACGATAGCTCCTGAAAGGTGACCTGTAGCAACACCAGCAGGAAGCACTCTTAGGACAGGTATTTCCCTCCCCAGACAGGTGGCAATGCACAGCAGCACCGAAACATGACAACTGTACAAACTGGGAAGTTAGACTGAAGCTCTAGCTTCAGTTTCTTACAGTACATACCTGGTCTGGAAAGCAGCTGTACAAAATAGCACCACCTGACTTGGCAAATCTATTCCCTGTGTATATTAGGAAAATGGAACTGAAAGGGAAATTCCCGTTTAGGCAGCCACGTCCCATGCTGTTGCAGGTGATCACATTCTACCGCATTAGTATGCTTTTTACAGCTACTTTAAAAGCAATTTGATTTCTATATAAAAGGCTATCTCAGAATGCCCCAAAATCTTACTAATTTAATGGTAAGGAAACTTTTAATTTCCAGCCTATATTTGTTTCGATCCAAATCTTCCAATTCCAGTTCATTTTCTCCTATAATTAGATGTTTATTATCCACGCAGCTAATGGCACAGGCTGTGATCAGCTGTGATTTTCTTGGTTTCAACCTGCTTGCTGCTTTCCCATTGACATAGCCCCAGGGAGCAGCAGGGCAGACCCAGCACCAGTGTCATAGGGGCACATGAGTGGAAAATGAGGAGGTGCACAGGTGTAGCCAAGAGTCACTGCCTTACAGAAGCCTCCTTTCTTTGCGATAAAACACCCAAAAGAAAATTAGCCCAGCCTGACTCAGTGGTCACATTAGTTTTTGAAGGGATGTGGTTGGTGAGGAGGGGAAAAGAAAAAGAGTAATGCTACCTCCACACCTCTGACTCGGGAGTGAACTTGCCTGAAGTTGAAATAGGGGCAGCAGAAGACAAAAGCATGACAAACTTACCAGTGTCCCTAAGTGAACTGAGTCCCGGCTGCCTAGCAAATAACCTCTTTGCAACGGGGGATACCACTGTGACCATGATGAGCTAAGACACTCAGACTGGTGGCTTCTGGTTTAAGTGGGCTGAACACAGGGCACTGCCAGTGTGGGATTCTTGCCTCCAGACTTGACTTCCCCAGTGACCTGACAGAACTTGATTGGGTGATATTTATAACGTGTTGCGAGGCCTGCTGCCTTTCTCCAGGACTGCTTTTCAAAGCTGCTAACAGGGTGTGGATAGGACATCTACTGCTGTTGACTTTCCATACTGTCTGGATGCCCAGCTGCCTTTATAAATCCATTAGATGTCTACCTACATCTTCAGGGGCTTTCTGGCTAGATCAGCTTAGACATGATTAGGAGCAACAGCTAACAGATGAGATTTTTTTGAGCCACCAAAAAAAACCCCCATCTATTCAGCTGCCAGCTAACCCTGAGATGCTTGAGGTGCCCTTTGCCATTGAAAAACTCCTGGAGACATGTCTGGAGTTACTGAAGACTTCATGGGGTGGGACAGGGCACCTCACCTGTGCCATTTTTGGCCACACAGATGACAGATCCATCTCTCCTGATCGGGATTCTCCTAAAAGTGGGACATTGCTATGCTTAAGTCTTTTCTGTGGCCCTAGCACTCTGTATTTTTGTAACTTTGGCTCTGTGACTTTTCTGAGGGATGGTCTAAGTAGGGTGTGTAGAGCGATCCAATTTTGGAACTAACAGTGCTCAGATGTATCTATCCTGATCACCAAGATTCTTGGCATCTTCAAGCATCTTAATACATAAAAATGGACCTTTATGAATCTCTTCAATTCTGTATACCCCTGATTTTGGAAATATTCTGATCTGCTGTCAAAACTCCCCATCACCCCTTCACTCTCAAACCTGAACCCTAGAGCTGCCTGCACACAAAATGTAGGAAAGTCCTGAGCTGGACTTAGATTTTGCGACAGTAGATGCTGCATGAAGAAAAAAAAAAAAAAAAAGAAGTGAAAAAAAAGAAAAAAAAAAACATTAGTCTGAATTACTGGAAAATGGGCAGCAAACTGACAGGTACCTTCCAGCAAATTTCTATGTAAAGGTTTAGTAGAACCTTCCCAACTAAAGCTTTGAGAGGAATTTCATTCCCAATCACTAAGAAAGGCTTAGACATTAGCCTGAGGAAGCTCCGATATTTAGAAATCTGATGATGCAACTGCGATGGGGAAATGTTAGGAAAGCCCTGAGCGGGAGTTAGATTTTGCGACAGTAGATGCTGCATGAAAAAAAAAAAAAAAAAAAAGGAAATGAGAAGAAAGTACAAAAATACCTAGTGTATCAGTATAGTTTCTATAAATATGTATTTTACATAGAAACTCCATAAGCAGTAAGAGACTGTTTCTTGAAAAAGGAGCTACGCTTACCATGCCTTGGGAGGTATCTTGCTGCTAGGGTGATAGCCAAAATGAAGATGATGATGATGATACTTGAAGCAGTAATGACATTATAAGATGGAGGCACAGTAGGGACAACACAATCATCTTTTTTTTCTGAAACAGAAGAAATAGAACATAAATAAAGGGCCCAACAACATATTGGCATTTTCATATAAGAGCAGGTATGTGAATTTTGGTGGTTCTGGCCAAATTCTAACTCAAATATTCAGCCTGAAAATTTACCTATTCAATAAACAAACAGATAAAGCCGGCACCTAAATTTCTTCCATTCCCCCACATTTGCTATGTGCTGAAATTTTTAACTCATCCACAGAATCTGAAATGCTGGGTCTTTGTCCACAACAGGACTGAGACAAGCAATATTTAAAAACATATAAGCTGTTTTTAAAAGAAACTGGTTAGGATTGGTGGAAAAGCCTGAGTCCATATCTAGAAAACTACTGTTCTTAAAGGTACTCTGCAGTTTTTCTTACTGCTTTCACCAGATTTATGCCTGATTTTTTTGCCTCTGAATTCACAGGTGATGGAGAATGATGCATTAAACAGACTAGAATAGACTTTTTTTGGCATGGCCAGACAAGAGTGTTGTGGCAGAGTTCAGTTTCAGTGGATCTGGAGCCTTTGGCTTTTCACCACTGGAGACGACCATTCTGCCAGTTGGACATTAGAGTAGATAACAGGCCATTCCCGTACAGTACAGGACAACTCTAATTCAAGAGGAGGGACAGACTTGGTGGATATTCATAGGTCTTCAGATTTTCATCATCTGCATCTGGCACAATTAAGCATCATTCAACTTCTAAGACACTAGCCTGAGCCGCTGTACAATCTTCCCCTCCCCTCCTATGTTTACCAGAGGCTGTATTCTGTCTGGAACTGCGTGCTCATGAAAGACTTGTTTGGAGGAGCATTTCCATCATACCAAAATGGGAGTGGTTCCACATCTTAAAAATCAAAAAGTGGGGGTTTTGTGACTGCTGTTGTCACTGTTGATTGCACCCTCCTCTGAGAATCTGTGTGACAATAGTGTATTACTATTACTACTTTTTTTGTTGCTTTCCTTTTCTACGTAGTACGATATTCATAACCTTCTTCCATTACCATCTCTAGGGACATTATGCACTACATCCAGCAATAACCAATATTCATAAAGCACTAGTTTCTGGCATTCGTCCTGAAGCTGAATGGCACCTCTCCTCACGAGCCCCTTTGATTTTAGTAAGATGAATAAGGTACTTTGATGAATAAGGTAAAATTCCCTAGGAAAAACAGCACTTCTCTAGCTTTTTGGTAACAACAAGAAAAAAAAAATCCTTTTGGCTTTAAGAATTTTCTTGCAAATCCCCTTCTACTGCAAAACATCTGGACTGTAGCATGTTGCCTTCCCTCATGCTGTTTCCACTTGTGCCTCAAGCTTTTCAAAGCACAGACTTATCTATTATGTTATCACTTTTAAGCCATGCACAGTGATGGAATTTTTTCTGTATGAGTTAACCCTATATTAAATACGTGTATGAAAGCAGAATTTTGTCTAGACCCCAGCTGACAGTTTCTGTCACTGAGGCAAGAACAAACATGCTTGTTAAATGACAAAATTCTTTTTACGTGCAACCTGTGGCTTTTAAGGCACATGCATTTCTCAAGTCCCACCATTCGAATACCAGGTCTGTGTCACGCAACTGGCAGTGAGACCGTGCTGGTACAGAGGGGCACTGAATGGTGGCAACCCCAACCCGTGGGAGCCACCAAGGCTGCCATCACCAGGTCACAACGGGATCCAGTTGCCCTCTCCGCCCAGCTGTGACTCACGGTAGAGCAGCAGGAAGACAGAGCCATCTCTGCTTGTCAGCCACTGTCATAACTCTCCTCTCCCAGCCCCGCTGTCTTACAGCCTTCGAAATATTTTGGTGTGCAGCTCACAGGCAGGACCATTGGGTCATCCTTGGTTGAACAGATACACAAAATCTACCGTTTTCTCAGAGAGGCAACTCAGCAGATTCAACAAAATGGTTTTGTAACACAAACTATTAATAAAACCTACTCAGAAGCAAACTGGTGGACTTGACAAAGCCATTGTATTCAACAGAGCAAGTGAAGCTGACGTCTTTGGTCACGTTGAGCCACAGTTTGCCAGTGACGTTGTACAGGCTGAGGCTGGACATGGACACCCAGCTGGTATTCCACACCACGGACATGTTGTTGAGGACTCCAGAGATTTTGGGTTTGGGGAAACCTCCATGAGAAGAACAGCTTACCACCATCTCAGTTGATTCGCAAGAATGAGCGGATACTTCTGCTGTTATGTTCGGCTTACTGAAGTCAGCTGAAGCAAGAAAGATTGAGTTACCATTCTGTCAGATTACAGTGTGGGCTGCAGTCCTGATCACCCACAGCCAAAGCAAAGACTCCCCCACAGGGCATTCTTCCTCTATCATAATCTGTTTGGCCTTTCTTTTGCCTTAGCATTCCCCCCACAGCCTTGACTGGATATGGCCTTGGCCTTTGCTTCTTTTCCCCCCTGGGCAGTACACAGACTTCGTGACCCCTCCTCTCCAATGCCGCCATTTCTCTCTGCATACAGCAGTTTGTGGAACAACAGAAGGAATCATAAAACGGGTAGGAAAAATACAGGACTGAATAAAAATCCGTCTTACAGGCAATGGTAGACAATTTCCTTTTCCCCTCCCTCATTAGTCCCTTCCCAGCGGCCCGTCCCTGCTGGGGAAGGAGGCGAGGCAGCTGCTGCTCTCTCAGCCTGGATGGCCAGCAAGCGGCTGAATTACATTTTCTGCATGAGAGCCCCTCCAGAAGGCCCAGCTGAGAGCAAGACCCAGTCATACTACTCATTGCAAAAATACATTGCAATACACAGGTCCTCTCAGAACACGTTCTCACCAGACTTTTTTTTCTCATTGCCAAAGACAGTTTTCAGAGGTTTCCCACCCACACAGCTTGTTCCATGCCTTCCCACCCGGTCAGATGTATTGCTGTAAGTGTTTGTGAGGCTGCATGGTGAAATGGATGAGAGGACTAATATGAGTGAAGAAGGAGAAGAAAGGTGGTGTCTTTTAGCCTGCTTCCCTTTGCTACTGTGGTTCGTGGTGTTACTGTAAACAGTTGTGTTGGTACAACTGAGGATGCCCACGGGTTGCAATAAACGGCCCAGGGTGAGGAGGAGGAGGCATGGGGTGGCAAAGGAACTATTTAAGGCAACTCTCCCACTGCAAAAATCTCCGTGGGACCACATCTTTAGCAAGAGAGGAACCAGTCAGAAAGAGAAACTCAGCATGTGGCTTCCTGGTGGGCATAAGTCACACCAACGCCACCGCTGCCAAAGGGACCGAATTCTCCCTCCCACCCCCGCCAGCTGTAGGCCCGTAGCCCGCACACCCCCTCAGGCGCTCGCCCCAGCCATGGCAAGGCCAGGCAGAGAGCTGCAGCAGGTTGCTCAGCTCACTGCAAAATGACCCCTTCTGCGATGGCTCCCTGCCTGACTCACTGTTTGACGACAGGACTGCTGGGATAAGGCAGACAGCCTTGCGGTCATAGCGCGTCTTCCACAGCTTATGCTGACCACGAGCCCACGGTCTAGGCTACTGAGTAACTAGTGAAAGAAACTTGCTCAACATTGCACAGCCAGCCAGTGGCAGACAAGGAGATTTCCTTCCAGGCCCACTATCTGTTGAGCAACACGGCATTGACATCCAGTCTGGAAAGTCCCTTCAGACATCCCAGCCGACTTCACCAAGGCTCTCTGATCGGTCATCAGGGAGTGACGCCTTTCTGCCTCTCGCAGGGTAGCCTGATTGCAGCAGGGGCAAGGGGAGCTTTCCCTTTCCTGATCCCCGCAGTAACTGATCCCACTTTTCCAAAGGGAGCAGAAGTCTACCACAATTATTACAACTGGCCTGTTAAGACAGCAAAGGGATTTCTGGATGGAAAGACACTGGAATATTTGCGGAGAGGAAAAGAGATCCGTTGTTTCACGTTTTTCGTGCAGTTAACTTCTCAGCCCTCACAGCTAGAGAGGGTGCTGGCAGCGCACTTCCCTTTTTTCATATTGGTTCCCAGAAAGATCACTAAATTTGTCTCCTTGCACATATGCCCACCATGCCCTCAGACAGGCAGGCAATGGCCAGACCTCAGGAGCTTGTTTATTTTGCTGACAAATCTCATTCCAGATGGGGAATGCTCATTCAGCTGGCTTATCTGGAAGATTCCTGGAACTCTCTGCTGCTAAAGGTATTCAAATGTATGTATATATTTATATATGTCACCAGTATCTCTGCCTTTGGTTGAAACCAACCGCCACAAAAACAGTGGTGGAAATGGAAAATAATGTCAACGGAACTTTTTGTAGCCTCCAAGAAAAGATTCAGATTCGTTTTGAGCAAAGGAACTCGGGTTGTTTCTTTAAGGTAAAAAGCCTCAGATCTCCAGCTGAGTTCAGCCGTAGGTTGTGGAGCTGCAGGGTAGCCGGCAAGCTGGCCATCCCCCCGGAGAGCCTGGGCTCCCAAGGGGTTGGATGCAGGGCTGGGATGCCGCTGTGGCCACAGAGGAGGAATGCCACCCACCCCATTCCTCTTTTGGCTTGGATGCTTCCCGCGCACCAAGGGCTTGGTCCCTGCTTTGCCCAAAAGACAGCAGGGGGCAGAGGCGGCCCAGGGCACCCAGCAGCAGTGCTGCCTGGGGAGGTGCCCAGGGACGGTCCTTGCCCAGGAGCGAGGCATCAAGGGGAGGATGGTGGGCTGGTGGTGGGAAAGGTGGATCTTCTGTACCTGGGGCAGCTTTGCAAAGGTAAGGAGGGAGGCTGCTAGAATGGAAATACAGGGGCCTTAACGCACCTTCCACCACTCTTTTAGGCTTCCTGATGAAAGTCTATCTGCTACACTATGACACTAAGCTTGGAGGAGTGTTTCTTACCCCCAGAGGCTGGCACCAGAAAGCCTCAGGTGTTGGGAGGCAATCCACCTACCTGTAACAAAGAGGGTGACATGCTCATCACACACAACTGAGTTCTGCGAACGTCTGCGGTGCTGAACCACACACTGGTAAGAGCCATTGTCCAGGATTTCCACGGGGGAGATCCACAGGGTGAGGTTCCTGGTGTCCATCTCTGTCCGGTTCTCATACCGCTTGTGCTTGGAGATCATGTTCCCGTCCGCGTAGGCAAGCACAACCTCTGTGATGTTCTTCTGCCAGTAGACCCGGTAGTTATGTAGGCTTTCTGAGCTGGGAATTTCATGACAACAAAGCAGGCCGACTTTTTCTCCTGCTTTGCTTTTGACTACTTTCTTCTCCAGTGCGTAGCCTATAGGTGGGGGGCAAACAAAAGTCAGTGAGACTTGTGCCAGGACCTGCTGCATCGAGCTCACCTCTTTGGCTCTGTCTGTGCCCACTAATGTACCTCATCACCCACGAAGCTGTTTACAGCTTCGGCTCTGCACTGAGGGGAGGCCTGCCTTGGCACTGCCTTTTACGTGATGTTCCAGTCCTACTTAGGATCCTGAGCGAGCGGGCATACAGTGATTTCTGCATGGATTACTGAAGGCAAAGGCAGGAGAGTTACCTGCCTGAACAGAAATTTTGCTGGCCCCTTGAAAAAACCACACCTCAGAGTAAAGAATTGCCGTTATTCATGTAAAGGGATAAAAACATACATGCCCAAACTGCTATCTCCTCTGCTCTCCCTTTTCAGAGCTCAGGGTTTGGAAAGTCTGTGTCATCCTCCGGTGGGTTTTCTGCATGCCAAACAGGGCCACACTGGACTATTAGTTTGGGGGTTCGGGTTTTTTTGGTAAAAGAATAAAACCCAAAGCTTTCAAGATCCCAGAAGCTAGAAGCAACCCTACAATGATAAACAAAGGTTACAGCCACGCTGTCCTCAGCCTCCTAGTATTAGCAAATGAACGATTTTGCCTAGTCTAGCTAAAACAAATTTATATTTGCAAAGGGCCATTGGCCTCGCTTGGGATTACTTGCAAACCAGCACAGGCATTCCTCAACTCCTGCCCAGCGACCGCATTGGCGCCATACATAGTATACAGGCCTGTGCCTACAATAACAAGCTGAGGCCTTTGCAAGGGGGAAATTCAGTACAACTTTGACCAGGTTAGCAGTAATCCCCCAGCTTCACACTGTGACTGCTAAGCACACCGCTCCCATGATCAGCCCTGCTTTCCCACTCCCCTTCCTCCTTCCAGTGGGTAGGTGCTCACCGGGGCCAGGACCGGGCACAGGAAGGAGCAGCCTAGCAAGGAAGCTGTTACTGGAAGAGTCGCCCAGGACTGACACACGGTCCTGTGCTGCAGCAAGGCCAGGGCAGGTGGTCGGGCTTTCGCCTGGGCTTGTGCAGCCTTGAGGACGATGCTTATCCCTGCGCGCCCTCCTCTGTTAGTCCAGAAGGTCGGGTTGCTTTACATTTGCCCTGCTTGCCTCAGCCTCGCTACCTTAGCATTCATCTCCAGTAGCGGAAGGGGGATACCAATCTGTTGCACTCCACTGACTGAGAGCAGAAAAACAAGGAAACAGCCGGCCTCAGGACAGAGAAGATTCAAATTCCCTCTTCCTTCCCTGCAGAACAGATCTCAGTAAACACAGCTGAGAAAGCAGGAAAGTCCTGACCAGGCAGTGTATAGGGAGAGTGCAGCATCAGCCATCCATGGAATTGAGAGCCCATGTGCAAAGCCTGAGCCTGAAGCATGCAATGAACACTTGACAAAGCTGAGCCTAACAACTGCCACCCACCCTCAGCAAAACCTGGCTGATGCTGGCTCACATGTTATTGTCACTGCTAATGCCTACCCACAGCCACGCCGTTCACTGGCACAGTGTGCAGCGCTCGGGGTGTGACCGGCGTGCTGTGACATTCAGATTCAGCTGAAGTGTCCAAAACAGCCACAAGCTTGTTGCCCACCAGGGCTTATTTGCCTAGAGGTGACTCACAGACCCTTAGGACACTGTCACACAGCCGGCAGCGAGGCTGACCTGTGCTCAGCAGCACACCCTGATGACATGATGTGCCTTGCAGTCCTCCAGCCGCCGGTGCTGGAGGGAGACCAGCAGATGCTCAGCCTGATCTTGGGGCAGCACTGGGGCTGCTTGATGAAGTTTAGCCCAGGCAGAGAGCTTGGGACAGAACGTGAAATAAGTTTTCACCCCCTTCCCCTGCGACACACCTACCCCTGTCCCACCCACATGCTTTACATTAAATCCACAGGAAACACACTAAAAAATACTGGGGAGGTCCTGGCACCATTATGGAATGCTTTAATACCAATTAAGTAGAATATGTAATTAAACAAGCAACTTCTCATTTAACTGGTTTCCCTCTACTCAACCACTTCATTGGTCTTCCAAAGGGAAAGATTCAAGACACAATCCTCTCCCCCGCCACTACCTGTACTTCCCCTTATAATGCACTGCAGACTACGAGCAGCCAGACCGGGGCAGACCAGGAGCCCACTCAGCCCGCTGACCTGTGTCAGCCAGCAACTGGTAGCAAAACGGTAGAAAAAACAGTTCTTCCACACCGCGCGGGATAAGAACTGCCATGCCCTGACAACCTGTGGCAGTCACAAGTTTAGGGATTTCTTGACACTGGCAGTTTAATCACTACTGCTAGACCTACCCTTCACAAAGAGATCTTTCCCCTTCAGGAATGCACGTATATTTTTGGCTTCTACAACATCCTGTGATGATGAGTTGCACGGTTTGATTACACGCTGTGTGAAAAAGCATTTCCTTCTGTGCACCTTAGAAGCATCCCACTTTAGGCTGTGATTCTTGAAGTTCCTCCTCCTGTGTGTCTGCATGCATTTGTGTGTGTGCGTGTGTGTGCGCGCGTTTTTTCCTCTCGCCCTCATCTTCGCTTGTTCTCACAGTTCAGCTCTTACTATTGCTGGAGAGATTCACAAGAGCAGCCAGTCAAACTTTGGGATTGTGGAGCCCAATAAAGTCAATTTTCTATTTTCTTTTGCAGCAATAGGGGAAGAGTAGGCGTACAGTAAATGTCAGGGTGACATCGCATCATGAGTTGCATGAGGTTCTCCACGCCTTGCCCCTAAGAGTCTCCTTTGCAACCAAAAGGAGAACAAAAACCTCCTCGGCAGTACATGTGCAGGGGCTGGAAACTCCTGCTGATGTCACATCTGTCCTTAAAAGGCTCTGCACCCTTGAAACTGCAACTTGAATGCTGCAAGCCTGAAGGAACCAAAGTCCACGAAGAGTCATTCAGCCCCACAAAAGTCCCCTTTCACTTTAAAGGTGAACTGCAAAGCAAAAATGAAAATTCAGTTCTGTCCCATTTCTGTGCTGAATGCTCTCCGTAACCAGGCTGTGGGGGAGGTATCCACTGTGGAAATAATTTTTCATGACTTTTCTAGAAAAAAAGATCCCTCCTCTTCCCATGTCCCCTGAAGCCCCCCCACTCCCTTGCTGTGCACACACATTGCTCCATCGCTGGAAGCCCACGGTGTGTGGCAATGC